GTTGATGGTTGTGATGATGGTGACAATTGATGATAGTGGTAGCAATGTTGTTGTTGATGACAAATAATGATGGTTGTGGTAATGCTGTTATTGACAGTGGTTGATGTAGTGGTGGCAATGTTGCTGTTGATGGTTTTGATGATAGTGGTAGTAATTTTGTTGTTGATGACAGATGATGATGGTGTTGGCAATGTTGTCATTGATGGAGATTGGGGCAGTGGCGGTGATGAAGCGAGTCGAGTGGCCGAGCTGTAAGATAGTGGCGCCGCTAGCTACACCTTAACATCGGCACTGGTTCCAGCTGCTCCTCGCCCATGGTTCGGTTTGTAGAACCAAGTCTTCTCGGATAAGGACTTAAAAATGGAGGTCCAGTGTATGCATCTGGCTCATGTGTGTTACTCCGATGTGATGGTTCCTTTCAGCCCCTGTGGAATGATGTGAACTTGTAGCTACCACAAATCGCCTCTTTACGGCTGCTAGGTAGTCACGGACCACGCCCATACGCAATTCAGCACAGTTGCGCTGCAAGTTATGGGTTATTCTCCTACCTTTACCACCCATTATGAAGCTGATATAATGATTATGTTTAGTATGAATATTATAAAAATAATGATGAAAATGAAGATATGGTATAAAGAATTAAAGAAACAATAATTAGTCAATATTAGTAAATGTAATTAGCAATGTAAGGTAATCATATTACCTGGATACGACTGTTTCCCCAGTCTGCAACAATGATGTTGCCAAGGATATCAACAGCCACACCTGTAGGAGCATTGAATTGGCCATTGCCCTCTCCATTTGATCCAAATTTCATTATCACATTGCCTTCCTGATCAAACACTTTGATACAATGATTATGAAAATCTGATATTACAATATTGTTATTGCAATCAATAGCAACAAAATGAGGCCCACAAAATTGTTTGTCCTTCACTCCTCTTGAGCCAAACTTATGAAGAAGTTTTCCCTTCGTTGAAAGTACAAATATGGTACTAGCTTTGTTATCAACAACTACAACATTATTATTGTGATCAATCGCTATTCCTTTTGGTCCAAGGAGCTTGCCTGTTCCAACCTTTCCAATATACTTTCCATCTGCATTAAAAATATTTATCCACTTGTTGTCATAGTCTGCAACATATAGGTTGCCATTTCCAGCAACAGCAACACCAGTTGGTCTTTGCATTTGGCCTTCACCACGGCCTGGCTGGCCAAACTTCATCTTACATTCTCCAGTAGTGTTGAAAATTTGGACACACTGAT